TCATATGTGTCCAGTTTAAGGGTATTACATAGAAACACACCATAATAACATGAATCAAATATGTAATTTATTCATTTACATTAAATGTCATAAGGTACATTATTCTGATTGGAGCTAAGGGCATACACTGTCTAACAGCAACTTGGGCACCCAAGTTGAAGATTTTAAAGTACATCAAGCTCAGGGGTAGGCCATTAAAAATTTAACAAATTGAAACCCAAGAAACCCTAGTTGCAGCCCATTTATATACAAACCCAAACCTTCCCACCCCATTTCCCTATTACAGCCTACCTCTTCCACCTCATTTTCTTGTTGCCCCCCCCCCTCCCCCCTCCTCCAAGAGAAAGTATTCCTGATTCCACCACTGACCCCTCATATAACTAGACCATCATTTTTATAATGGCCTTTAAGGACTACTTTTTTTGGTTGATTGTAAAATAAAAATATAACTATATTAATCATCAAGGTGTAAAAAATATAAAATTATACTTTTTGCAAAATCTCCCTCAACCAACAATGATGAGAGCCTTTTAGAAGTGGCCAACACCTAAACTAAACAATGAATAAGCTAAAGAAGCAAATTCTATATTGGAAAATAAGAAATCCTTTGTCAACATATAGAGGAAGATTTTTTATCAGTAATTACTAGCCAAAATTCTAAAATAATCCAAATACAAGTGAGAATGAAAGATCTTTGTTTGGCTAATAAGGATTTAAACAATATAGAACGCTTAACTCACTAACTAGCAAACTCTTAGCATGGGCTGATGATAATCAATGAGGATTCATTCCTTAATAATTGCAGTCATAGCCATAGCTTCAACCTGTAAATAAAATTACATTTTAGCAATTCTTTAATATTACATTATTCTAATGTGTCTCAATATTGAAGCATTTGAGCTTTTAACTTAAACAACTCACATCCTTGTAAATTGGATCTCAATGGTCTTACAATGGTTTCAGTTTCAAACTCCTTTAGTTGAAGAAGATTCTGGTAAGAGGATTTTAATAAATTCACTTCAAGAGGTTGTTACCTAATGCCAATAATATCTCTAAACACCTACCGAAAATCTGATTAAGAGGGGAATGGGGCTTGATCATGTATGTGCCCTTTGTACAATGAAGCTTTAGAGAGTGCAAACCAATGCTTCATCCATTGCAAGATATCAAATACAATTTGCATCTAGGTTAAAAATATCTTTTGCGTAAGGAAAAATTCTTTTTGATGATGGTTCTTCTTTAGCTTTTTAGATTATTTGGAGTAGAAAGAATTTAAGGCTTTTTGATAACAAATATGAGACAATTTTCTTTGGTGGGTGTGCATAGCATAGTAAATAGGACATCATTTGATGTATTTTTGGATAAAAGGAACTATTTCATAAATCATGTAATGTAAGGTGTATATTCTCTTTTATAGTCCCTTGGTCTACATGAAATGTTTGTATGGTATTGTTTTGTTTAATGAATAAAATACTTAACCTTCTTCAATACACATGCACAAACATAATGAATTTTAATCACACTCAGATATTTATCAAATCAGGTGTCAAATCCTCAACTTATTTGATTATTAAACAGATGCAGATTTTAATATTCAAATCCAAAATAATTGGAATTAATTTTGGCGTCAAATGCACAACTTATTTGATTGTTAAAAGATGCAGAATTTACTATTCAAATCCAAAATAATTAGATTGGACGAAAATCCATCCAGATGTGCACTTTTTATCTTCATTACCGATAATTCAACTTGCATCAGTGTATCCTTCTAGTATAGCTGGATAATCACAGTAAAACAAGCCAAGTTCCAAGGTTCTCTTGAGATACCCAAGAACTCTCTCAATTGCCTTCCAGTGCTCTGTACCGGGGTTACTTGTAAACCGACTGAGTTTACTTACTACAAATGCAATATCAGGTCTGGTACAAAGCATAGCATACATCAAATTTCCTACTGCACTAGCATACTCAAGTTGTGCAATTGCTCTACCAGTATTTTCTACTAGCTTTATACTAGAATCATATGGCGTGCTATATTCTTTAAACCCTAAATGCTTAAATTTCTCAAGTACTT